CATGCCTTGCAGTGCAGTTCTGCTGGTGATCAATTCTATCCACTGCTGTATATCTGGTGGTTCTTACCTTGTCCTCTCACAGTTTTCTTGCATGCACATGGTGATCAATATTGTGTTGAAGACTAAAAGAAATCCCCTGCAGGATTCTAGAACTCTTACTCTGCACAGCTCTCTGCTCTCCACGGACGTATCTCCTCTCTGGTATTCTGCTTCATGAATTCTAGCTTCCCTGACCAGACTCAATTCTTGAGTCCATTTGCTCAAATTGGAGACCTTCAGGCTTTGTTTCAGTTTCCCTTTCTTGTGCTTTACTGTACAAGCACTCTGGGGGAATCACAGGGCATGGGCTATCCCCATTTGCTTCCACTCTGTCTTCCTTGGATCACCAATAGAAGCTGCTTGCCACTTGTTGCCTGAAAATAATATTTTGTCTGCCTTGCTATTTGTTTGAGGTGGGTTTCTTACTCCATCTTTGTTGGAAGTAGACTCTCCTTTGGCCTTTATTTATATTCTTTTTAATGAAGATATGGAATATCAGAGTAATATTATCAATAATTCTTGAAAGAGAAGATTTAATTAAACATTTTAAGAAACATATTTTATTTAAACTAATGTAAAAGTTCAAAACATTAAAAAAGTCTTATCCTTTTAAAAATTAAGCAAACGAAATGGTCCTTTTTGGTGAATAAATAACAAAAATGATAATACTGCATCTCCAAACAGAACACTGAGCCAGACTCCAAGGAAAATGAATGATTTCATTATTAAATAAGAAAAGAATTAACAACTGTAAATTAAAATTTCAACTTAGAGAGGGAAGAAAACTAATAGAATCATAAAAAAATCTGAAATTATAGAATTTGAAAATATAAATAATTAAATACAGAAATAAGTAAAAATGCTTGTTCTTGAAATAAACAAAAAACCTTTTAAAAGGCAACGTTTAAATAGTCTACTGAGAAAAGTAAAAAACCAAAATGAAATATAATTAGAACTCAGATAATTTAAATACAAGCTTGGATGAAGTTTTTAAATATGAGAAGATACCACAGTGATGTCAGTGTTAATACATTTTAAAAGATGAGGTATCATTAATTATAAATGTAATAAATATAATTTTATTCCTAGAAAAAGTGAACAAATTCTTTGTCCCATCGCAAAATAGCTTACTTTGATAGGTAAACCTACAGTACATCTGAAATAATATTTATGTAAAAATAACCAAGATAGGCCAGGTGCAGTGGCTCACACCTGTAATCCCAGCACTTTGCAAGGCCAAGGTTGGCAGGTCACTGGAGGTCAAGAGTTCGAGACCATTATGACCAATACAGTGAAACTCTGTCTCTACTTTAAAAAAAAAATACAAAAATTAGCCAGTGTGATGATGCGTGCCTGTAATTTCAGCTACTCAAGAGGCTGAGGCAGGAGAATCATTTGAACCTGGGAGGTGGAGGTTGCAGTGAGGTGAGATCACACCACTGCACTCCAGCCTGGGCAACAGATTAGACTCCATCTAAACAAACAAACCAAGATGATATTGATAAAGAAGAAAAATAAATATCTCATTTTCCATGAGAGAGAAAACCAAAAATAAGACAAGTTAAACATCTTGCCCAGTCATTTGTCTTGTCACAGGTAGAGTCAAGATGCAAGCCAAGAATCTGAAAACAAAACTCCTGTAAATCTGCTGCTCTCCCTTAGTGTGATGTGTGCAAATGCAGCAGATTGCTGTAATGGCTCCCAAATCACCCTTCAGTGTTGAGCTTCTAGCTGAGGGGGGTGCTGGATTGAGTAAGCTTCTTTACAAAGGTTGTACCCTGTCCCCAAGGGCATCCCACATCCATGACCAGTTAATGTAAGGGTTCAGAGACACAGCCCTTGCGTCAATCTTGGACAACTCTGACGGGTCATCCTAGCCGGAGTACCCGCTGTGGGATCACCTGAAGCCCTTTTGCAAATGCATTGCGTTCAACTTCATCCTCTGCCCAACTCTTTTTCCCTTATTTCTTTATAGGTGTTGTTCCTGCAGGTACTCCCCAGTAAACCTCCTGCATATATATCTGTCTCAGAGCTCATGTCCTGGAAACTCAGACACATATTGGATGCCATAGTAGCCCTAGGAAGCAGATTCAGAAACAGGAATTTGGAACTGTATCACCCCTGGCCAGCCGGCAATGCAATCGCTTCACTGGTCGGTGGAGTACTGATCACCTCTGACAAGCCGTAACAGAACAATTGTTAAAGCGGTCCTTGGGGATAAACTGAAATGCCATGCTGGGGAAGGTAATGCATTGACTACTGCAATAGCTCATAGGTTAGAGAGGTTTGAGGAAGGACCAGTTATAAAGACAATAGAATCACAGTCCTATTGATGTATTCAAAGACCATAAAAAGCTGATGGTGATTAATCAACAATTTCAGGTAAAATGTGAAAATCAGAAGGCCTATTTGGCAGCATATAAAAAGAGTCCCAGGCTTTGCAGCTGGAGGCCAGAAAAAGCTGAGGATCAAGCCAGGATATAATTATAAGAGTAGCAGAGCTCCAGAGGAGGTTGAATTCTCATTCTTAGCAAATGTGCAATTGTCAAGGTCAGAGTCATGGTTGGGAAGGTCTGGAAGCTGAGAATTGGAATGGGGTCATGTGAATTGACGATATCAGAACCTTGAAACCCTAAGATACCCCTACATCCACTGGATCTGCAGAAATGATGCACTGCTGTGAATTAAACTCCCTGAGATATAGAGGATGCTTGAAGATATAGAGGATGCTGCCTTGCAAGTCAGGATCTGTCTCCACCTCTCTTTCTGGAGGCCAGACTAATCACTGTTGTTGTCACAAGATAACCAGGCCAGTTTACTCTAGTGTATTTTGCTAAGGGAGGAGAAGGGCTATTTCCTGAAAGAGTTGCGGCAGTACCTAGTCAAATATAAAAGCAGGAGCCAGTAACATATGTATTGAACTGAATTCTGAGGGTGCTAGATCATGGTGGTAAGTGGAAGAGGCACACAGTCAGGTTGGATAAGGAAGTATTTAATATAACGGGGCACTCTATTTGATACAGAATTGTACACCCTGGCAAGGACCCTGGGAAACAATGCAAACATACTACTATGTTGGCTCTTGCAAGCTTGGAGAAAATGAAACCTTGTACTAAGTGAAGGAGAAATATTAGAACTGTTATGCAAACAACGGAGGAGGAAATGCAAAGTTCAGAGAATGGGCCTGCTGAAGTGCATATACTACCTAAGGGCAAAAAATCCACTGTGTTCTGTGGGAGAACCCAGGGAACCCTCCATTTACCAAATAAGAGTGCACTGGTGAAGGTAATTACTAGGGAAGGTAATAGGAGTTGCTTAACAGAACTGGATTCCCTGATAAAAATAGGGCAATGCAGTCCTCAAAACAGAGGCAAGTGATGGCACTTAACCCTCAGAAGTGAAGTATGCAAAATTATTATAATGAACACTAAGATTAAAGTGGCAGCAAGACTGGCTTGTTCTGCAGAGAACTACGGAGATGGTTAACAGAACATGGGTTTGCCTAAGACAAAATAGATGGGTGGACAAGAGTTTTGTTTAATATACAGAGTGATAAGAGATCAGGATGGATAATAAGGAAATTGAGAACAATAAAAAGTCAAAACTGGTTTGGCTACTGCCTCTACTGAAGATCCAACAGATGGACAGCTCCAATGTGTAACAGCCTCCTCAATATGGCATCATCCCTCAGAGACAAGTCAACCACTGGTTGACAAGTTGATTACATTGGACTGCTTTTGCTTGGGAATAAACAGTGTTTTTTGACTGGAAATGATACATATTCTTGGTATGAATGTGTCTTTCCTGCTTTACCAGCACCGTTATTTGAGGGCTTACAGTATTGGACCCCACCGGCAGTCTTTGACACAGAATACTGCATAGAGTCATTTCAGGCTAAAGAACCCAAGTCTACAGCAAAGGAGGAGGAACTGTGTTGCCACCGTGGTCCTATCACATAACACACTATCCAGAAACTGTTGACCTGATAGAGCAAGAGTCTATCTAAAATTTTATTTTTAATAATATTATATTGCATAAAATGGCACATGATGAATTGTACTGCCTGTCTAAAGATGTGATAATTATAATTGTTATTTTACTTTAAAAAGTTGCTCTGTTTGCTCATGTTATAAACAGTAGAGACTATCTCTCTTAAACACAAAGTGAATTTATTGGTCAGAATATGGAAACAGGAAGGAAGGAAGGAAAAGCAGAATAGTGATTGGAAATAACAGGAACTAGCAATTATAAATTTGACAGATCTCAATATAGAAAACATTTGATAGCATAGCTCTACTACCTTCACTGGAGAAACTAATTCCCCTATTTCTTCAGTTTTTAATGCATTATGTTCAAATTTCAAAGCGCAATGGCAGAGATGTCAATGACTATTGCTTACATCACGTTTCTGCGTTATGGCCTTTAGTAGGAGGAAGAGGTATGATCTGCCATAGTACCTCGGTTTCTCCATGGTTTTCTTCGTGAAAGGGCATCCGAATGTACTGTGTAAATAAGACAATACACAATGTGGGGAGATGTAACTCCCCAAAGGACATCATACTGCTATTCCTTAAGGGAGAAATGGATGCTAGATGATTAGAAACACATGAATTGCCCTCTTAGGTACATGTAACTATTCGTTAAAGTAACCACTCAATTACTTCTGGTTAATACATGCACTACGGGATGTATTGAGGACCCCATCCTGCTTGCTTCCTCATGCACCATTTTCCTCCTCTCCTGTTAGTTGCGTGGAGGTTGGGCAAAGACACTTCCTTTGATTGCCTCTGGTGTTCCATCTTACAGTGCCATCTGGGGCAATTCTGCCTTCTGGGAATGCCTCACAGTTTTCTGTGGTGCTAATGAATGCTAAGGCCTTAGAGAGCCACAGTGCACTTCATTATACAATGACTTCATTAAGCCAAAATTATGAAACAGTCAGTGTTAGTCCGTTTCGTACTGCTATTACAGAACACCACAGACTAAGTAGTTTACAAACAATGGAAATTTATTTCTCACTGTTCTGGCGGCTATGAAATTCAAGAGCAAGGTTGGACTCTTGGTCCAAGATCAAGGAGGGCAGTTTTGGTGTCTGGTGAGGGCCTGGTGTCCTCTTCCAAGATGGTGCCCTGAACGCTGCATCCTCTACAGAGAAGTGCTATTTCTCATATGGCAGAAGAGGAGAAGAGCCAAGAGAAAAAACTCATTCCTGAAAGTGGTTTTATGAAGGCATTAAACCCATCCATGAGGTAGTCCTTCTCTGTCACCCAGGCTGGAGTGCAGTGGTACAATCTCGGTTGACTGCAATCTCCACTTCTCACATTCAAATGATTCTCCAGCCTCAGCCTCCCCAGTAACTGGGATTACAGGTGCATGCCACTGTGTCTAATTTTGTATTTTTAGTCGATATGGGATTTCACCATGTTGGCCAGGCTTATCTTGAACTCCTGACTTCAAATGATCCTCCTGCCTTGGCCTCCCCAAATCTTGGGATTACAGGCGTGAGCCACCGCGTCCAGCCTCCATGTGAGTTTTCAGGGGGACAAACATTCAAACTATTGCATAATCCATGCCATTGTTTTTTTTTTTTTGCCTTCTTTCCCTCTGAACTTCTTTCTATCATTTCTTTATCTTCTTTCCTTTGGAACTGGTCAAAAAGTTTGAACCTGGACACTGAAGAGATGGTGTTTGTGAATCACAGAATGAAAATAACTCAATTGGGTTTTACCTGCAGGCCTAAGGGAGCAAAAATACAGGTTCCCAGAGTTTAATAAGAGCTAGAATGAGATGTTCTTTAATCACCGTAGTGTCCTGATTCTCTACTCTTATAACTCTGCTGACCACCCTCATCCTCTTTTCCCTTTTCATTCCCTTTCTCACAGCAGTCCTGAATGAATTCCTTCTCCCTAATGCTTCTGTTTCTCTGCCTTTCCCCAAGTCCAAAGCAAATAAATCAAGTGCTCCTTGTTTGCATTATGAAAAATTCTTTCTTGTACAAGAATATTTAATATGGTTCTCTTAAAGCTTGCTCACTACTGATTGTGATTTAATTCACAGACATAGTATCTGCGCTTTAAATTTTAGGTAAGGCCAAGTCTACTTTATGGAATAACCTGAAAAGCAGTAGTAAGAAAATAGCATATAGCTGGCAGGAAATTATTCAAGCTGTTCATGCCTTCCTCTTCAAACCAGTTTCAAGAGAGTAGTGAACTAGAGTTCCCTGATAGGAAATGCATTTTGCTGAAGGACAATAAAATCACGCTAAACTTAATGAGAATGTTTTTAAATTGTTCCTATTTTCCCTTTCAGGTGATGCTTGAAACACATTTATTCTATTCTCCTGATGCTGTGACAGGAAAGAAACTGTATTGTTACTTCTACTACCTGGGGAAAAATAGCTGATTAGCTAGTTTTGACTTTAAGACTATTCTCAAATCGTTCTCTGAGAACATGTCTTCGCCTTTTTTCAATGACAGAGAAATAAGACCATCACATGCTTTCCATTATCGTTAATGACTCTTCTAATGATTTGATGCCTGATGCCTTTAATTTTTATTTTCGAAAAGACATCTACTACTGACACTAAGTCTCTTTGTTGTTCACTGTAAATTTCCCTTGAGGCATGTGTTTTTGTTTAAAGAGGCATAAATAAATAATCAATAAATCAAAGTTCATAGTACAAAGTGGACTGAAGTCAAATGACTTCTATGCTTCCAACAGAGCGATATAATAAGTGAATATAGAGTATTTACTGTATAATGCAATATCAATAATTAAAAACCTGTTTAAGAATAAAAAATATAAAATGGATGAGTGACTTAATAGCAAAGTTTATATGAAAAGGTAATTGAGAGAGCTAACATTGTATACAACTAATTTTTGCATTTACGAGTATTTTATAAGCATGACAATTACCATGTGGATTTCTGACATACCTATTACTTTAGTGTTGGATACAGAAAGCTGATAATTTAAAGGCATAGTAAATGTACAAAATCTTTGTGTTTTTAATAACCTTTGGTCAGTAGGACATGGGCTTTTATGGTTTTTCTAGTGGTTATGATGGTTATGAGTCAAAGCAGTCACTGCTTCATGCTAGGTTAATGCACTTTTTGATTAAATTGGCAGATTTGTGAGATAACCAGCCATGGCCATGGGCATAGTTTATAATTATACAATAAAATTGGACAAGCTGGTGAATGAAACAATCAACTCCATAGCCCTAAGTTACAGACGCATTTTATACAGACTGCTGGGTGAGGTTGGGACCTTTTTCAGGGGAAGAATTTTAGGCTATGTTTTATAACACTTGTTACTTCTTCATTAGAGTTTGGGTTCTCATGGATTTCTGCTCATTTTTCAGGTGAGCTTTCTAGGGCATAGTAAAAAGGGCACATGTACCCCAAAACCTAAAATGCAATAAAAAAATTAATAATAAAAAAAGAATATCTTACTCAGACGTTTCCTCATCCATTGTTTTTCAAAACTGCAATTAAATCATGTCATTTTATTGCTAGATAAAATGGCTTCCTAACTCACTTAGGAAAAAATCTAAACTCCTTGCTGAGTGAGAAGAATGATCTGCAAATAAGATTGTTACACATTTCTCTCATCAAACGGTGGCATTTGTTTTCCTTATGCAGTCATGTTGTGTGAGGAAATGACAGGAATATGTTCTGAGAAATGCATTGCTGGGTGATTTTATTTTTGTGTGAACATCATGGAGGGGACTTACACAAATCTAGATTGTATAGCCTACTACATATGTAGACTGTGTGGTATAATCTATTGCCCCTAGGCTACAAAGCTGTATAGCATGTTATTATACCAAATATTGTAGGCAATTGTTAACACAATGCTAAGTATTTGTGTATCTAAATATACTTAGACATAGAAAAAGTGCAGTAAAAATACAATCTAAAGAATAAAAAATGGTACATCTGTATGGAACACTTATAATTAATGGAGCTTGCAGGACTGTAAGTTGCTCTGGATGCGTTAGTGAGGGGGTGAATGAATGTGAAGGTGTAGGACATTACCATACCTATTTTAATATTATGGGACCACAGTCATACATGTGGTCCATCGTTGAATGAAGTGTAGTTATGAATTACATGACTATACCTGAACCTGGACTATCCCTGTAGCTTGTTTTTAATCTATGAAATGTAACAGAAATGTCACTATGCCTGTTCCAGGCTTAGGCCTTAAGGGACCTTGTGTTATATAAAACCATCCACTAAAGTCCAATGACCTTACTGCCAAAAAAAGCCCATGTGCAGAGAGAGAGGCTTTGGCGGCGTTGAAACTCTAAAGGGAGAGAGAGAAGAGCTCAGCCAGCCCTTGGGCGGGAGCCACCTCACCACAGGAACCAGCCATGACGGTGAAGCCGTTTGGACTTTGCAGGCCCGGTTGAAACACTCAACAGCTCCCCGGGGCAACAGTGGAACAGACTGGAGCCATACCCACTAAGCGCTGCCAAAATTTCAGTATTGTGAGCAAATACATGATTGTTGTTGATTTAAGGCAGGGGGGCATTATGGATTTCAGAAATCTAGACAGTGGATCTACCTACAGTAAGGGGAGGAAATCATTAATGAATGAATAAGAAGAATGGGGATATTTAGTATAAGAAGGTATGTCACTCTCTTGAATGTCAAGGTAGAAAACTTCAAGGAAGTCATTGCAAGACCATAATTAAATATAATTAAAGAAATATTTATGCCTGGAGCACTATATCTCTAGAGCAACTTCATATAATGGACATACAATATTAGCCACACACTTGATTTAGTAGTCATATTGAATTAGTAGTCAATATGGTTTAGTAAATTGAATAAAAAGCAAAAAGTAACAGATGGATTTATTTTTGTAATACATTTTACTTAACTAAAAATATCCAAAACATTCTTTTCAATATGCTGTTAATATGAAAATCATTAATGATATATTTCTGTATTACTTTTTGTACAAAGTTTTTGAAACTCAGTGTATGTTTTATATTTTACACATGTAGAAAATCTGAAGTCAAACTAGCCACATTGCAAGTTGCTCTGAGATACAGAAAAAAAACCTGTGAGGATGAGAACTGAGTCTTTGGAATCCTAGCACTTTGGGAGGCTGAGGCGGGAGGATTGCTTAAGGCTAGGAGTTTAAGACCAGCCTGGGCAACATAGTGTAGCAAGACTCTCTCTCTCTATAATATATATATATATAAAATATATATTTTAATATATATAATATATATTACATATATAATATTTATATGAAAACATACAAAAACTAAAAACCATAAAAATATGTATTACAATGTAAAAAGGAGAATTGAGAACATGTAGCAGAGACTGTTAGCACTTATTATACATCCTATCCATACATGCATTTGTCCATTTCTCCATTCACAACTCCCTTGACATTAGCGATCATGTGATTCATTTTTATCTAATATATGTGGAAAGAAGTTATGTAAACATCTTCCATGCCTGGCCCTTAAAGTCATCCCACGCAGTTTTCCAGCTCTCTCTTTTCCTGCCATGGAGATTTGGAAGCTGTGTGGTCCAGAGGGCACTGCTGCAAGATGGACACTGGACACTTAACCCAAACCCTGGCTGGGATGTGAGCAGCCGTGGATCTTTTGTCTTGGTAGTTTACTGGCATTCCAGTGTTTGTGTCTTGCGGCCACTAGAATTGACTACCCAATATGTGAAGAGAGAATTACTTAGGCTTTGGAAAAGGCACACTAAGAACATCAGTAGCAATATTAAGTGAATTACAAAAAAAAAGTCTTGTTTTGCTGTAAAAATAGAAACTGTGGAAAAAGAAATAAGATGATACTCTTATCCAGTTAAAGTTCAGCCTTATGAATGGAAGAGAAATGGGATCTAATTGAAGAAGCAGGTTGAACTTTATAAACCTCAGCTAAGATCTGCTTGAAAGTAGAAGGGAATATAAAAAAAGGAAATAGAAATGGTAATCTGGAGGATATAGGCACATATTCATCTGCTTCAGAAAAATACAGTAGAAAGAAGTGTTTCCTCTCCTGTTCAATAAGTCTTAATTTATGCAGGTCCTGGAAAAAGTCAAATTCTGAGCATAGGTGAGATTTTGGGGGAGTATCATGTGACCGAGGACACATTGGCTGTGAACTTTGCTTGGAGAGTTTCCTGTTATGAACTCAGGATACCCATGTCAAGATGCCACTCAGTCTAGAGAAATGCAATTTAAACCCAGGATTGACACCAAGCAAAAGGAATGGAAGTCCAAGAAAACTTGAGAACTTCAGGTGCAACGATGGCAAATATTTGCATTTTGCAAGAAAACAAGATTGTTTTAAAGCCGAGGCAAGTAGATTTTTCTTCCTGACTGTAGACAGCATCATAATTTAGCTCTTGGCACCACACATACATACAGTGTGAAAGTGCTAGAATTAGGATGCTGTCCTTAATTCCTCTATTTTTAATGGTAGTAAGGAAGAAAAAATCTAGTTTGAGAGTTGGCCACAGAACTCCACTCAAGGAAAAGTGAGGTTTGTTTGTAAAACCACCTTCACTGGCATATTTACTTTTGAAGTTGAATCTCTCTAGTGATAACCTTGATATATTTAGGGGGATAAAGAGAAAGTGAATAGAGCTTTTGGGGAAGATAAGACAATATGGATGGTTGGGAAAAAGATAAGAGACAATACGTAGAAGGCAGGAGATATGGGAAGAAATACTGGACAATGAAAAATTTCTGGTATCTGCAGGATATTTGAAGGAGAGATTATTCCATTTTGAAATGGGTAGCTCTGTTTCACTTTTAAAAGAATGCATACATCTGTTATACACCCTCTTCACATCCTCCTTAACCTCCAAGAGTTAGTTACACAGGTACAAAGTGGGTTGGTGTTTAGAGAAAGCAAGGAAATGGGGCTTAGTCTCCTGTGAAGGTAAGGGTGATGTTAAGGACTAAGGAAGACTATAGGAGTTGACATATGAGGGAGAAGGAGTTCAGAGTCATGGGGAATAGAACGTGACAAGCAGTTCCGACAGCTTGAAGCTCCTAGGATTTGCAGACATCTTGGGAGGAGTGCTGGAATTCCACAGGTTGGCATAAAGATGATGTCAGTTTTATGTAAATGTCAGGGGAAAAGTGATTCTTACCCATGTCGGCATTGTCCCGTCAATTCTCATTGATTTTGTATTCTAAAATTTTCCAAATGTTATTGCTTCCTTCCATTTAATCTGGTAGTTCCTTCACCCAAGCTTCCATTGTTTTTTGCTGAGACTTCTGCCATAACTTCCTAAATGGCCTTTTGGATTCCTGTACAGTTAGCTTTTGTATCTGTGGCTTCAACTAACTGTGGATAGAAATTATAAAAAAAATAAATAACAATATGACAATAAAAATAATATACATTTTTATGTATAAAGTATAACAACTATTTACATTGTATTATGTATTATAAATAACATAGAGAAGACTTAAAATACTATATGTGGGAAGATGTGCATAGGTTATATACAAATACTATACTATTGTGTATAAGGACCTCGAACATTTGAGGACCTTGGTTTCCTTCTAGGGTCCTGAAACCAGTCCCCATGGATATGGAGGGATGGGTGTAGTCCTCACTTCAAATCAATCTTAGAACAGCAGCCAGATGATTACTTGTTGGAAAGTGGTGAGGACATCTATGTTAAAAATGGTTTCATGTCTTCTAACCGCCTTATCATAAGGACCAAAATCTGGAACAAACTCTATTAATACCTAAAGACGTATCTAGGGAGGTGTGCAGAAAGAACACAGTGAGTCTCCGTGATATAATTTGG